TCGCTCTCATAATACATGTACATTACATATACATATAAGTAAAAATATATGCATCTTAAAAAATATGAGATGCCTTATGTATGCGTTTCGCGTGGGCTAAACGTTTCTCGACGACGGAGAACAAGTCTCTTCGTTGACCCAGGAAGGAAGACCTTTCTACCTTCGAGCGCTGTGGCATATCGGGACATCCGGTTAAATCGCGTGCGATCGAAATTTTCCCATTCACCTCGGACCTTACGCGGTTTAATTACATGCTGTGCTTTTACCTTCGCTCTTGCTCGCGGCTAACTGTTCAGTAAGAGCACAACGAGAACATCCGTTCTTCGTTCGCTGTTCTCTCATCTCGTCTCTTCATCCATCACACATCTTTCACCATACGAAATGCATGAATTCGGTTGGCTCCTGTCATATCTAGATTAATCATGCTTATTATATTTTCGTAACTGCAAAATATTTCAATTCAATCATTTAATTTGTTAAAAGATAGTAGACGTGTCTAAAAAGTATGGTAAGAGTAAATATCAAATTTATAAAAAGAACTTATTTAAATCAAAAAAATTTTTAGTAAAAATTCTGAAATATATTAAGACATTAAACATAAAAATTATTAAAACATGAAGTAAATTGTACGTATAATAAATTTAGATCGTTAGGATATTAGATCATAATTTTAAGTTACAAAAAAAGGATACGAAGCAAAACGTGTTGTAAGCTGTAGGATTAAAAGCAATATTGACACGGTAGAAATTCATACGGCAACGTTAAAGTCTCTTCTTTCGTATTCTCTTTATCATTTCAGTCGATTTGTCAGTCTGGCGTCACATTTCCGCGAGGATAATCGTGTTATAATTGTAATGCCGCGAGGAGAAGCTCTGTGCAGACAGACTTGTCCGAATGCCAAGTTATCCTTATCTAACACTTTCTCTCCTTTCCAATACTGTCGTCAGTATCCGAACGCTATCGAGCGCTCATCTCACGTCGAGTATTAAGTAGAATCACCTTTGCAAATTTTCGGTTAAATCAACACAGACCAATTACGTAACGCTTCATACATCTCTCCGGAGTCTATAATCACGTGTTTCCTTATTTATTACTGTACTACATCAAAGAATTCTACATACCAAATAATTTTATGATTGCTCTCTCTCTTTTTTTATATGACATCTTGTGAAATTTTTACACTGAAAAAAAATACGAAGAGAGAGCTGTTATGAAAATGATATATAATTTGATTTACGTGAAAATTAAATATAATATTGCCTCACATCAAACTGCGATACTCCTTTTAAACATGGGAAGTCTAAAATATTGGTCATTTATAGATTCGAATGAATAATCGTCTGAGTAATATTAACTGCCGAGAGAATCTATCTATTGAGATACGCTTGTTTTTTAAAGCTCGATTCCACCAACGTAAAATGAATTTTATAATATATATATTTTTATATTAATATTTAATTTTAATTTAACTAAAAATATTTTTAGTTATTATTGTATTTGTAATATATAGATATCTCAGCTTAATTTGCTCTTTATCTCTTTGTAATTCTAAGGGATGAAGAGTAAATTGAAAAACAGGAAGTCAAATTGAGATTAAAGTTAATCTTACATTAGTGGAATCAGCTCAACTTTTGTATAAGCTTTATAGCTTATATATTTTTATCAGAATATACGTAATTCTAGTTCTATATAAGCTATATAAGTTCAAAGAAATGGAAGCATATTGATCCATGTTGATTCCACCTTCTGGGAACTTTATACCGCGACTCGGAAGTTCGCGTTGTTACTCTCGATTAATCGGTGCAATCATCGCGTAATTCTCACGTTTGATGATGTAATCTAAAACAACCGATGCAATGTGATTCGTCCTTTAATGGATTAAGTAATTGATGCGCGACATCGAGTTCTCGCTGACATCATCTATCATCACTCATGTCATCGTAATCTTCTCCAAGCGAATAATTAACCCTTTAATATTTTTATATTATAAAATGTCTACTATAAAAAATGTTCAAGTATATATAAATAAATTCAATGTAATTCTCATTGTGTATGAAAATAATGTTCATCAAACATTAGAATTGCAGTATTTATTTTTTTTTCTTAAAATATATATTATTTTAATATATATTAAAAATACATATATAATATTAATATATTTTTCATCTCATATATTAATATATTTAATATATTAAAATTGAGATGAATTATTCCATATGCATTAATCTCATGTTCATAAAATTCTATCAATCTATTCTGAACTTAATTATAAAATCAAAATAGCTCCACAATAATTGACAATGTCTCTGATTTTATATCAGAGTGCCTGATGATTTTTCAAAATTAAGTAAAAAAATCTTTTTTATTTTAAAACAATAATATAAGAGTAATCACGCATACAATGCTCTTGCGTGACAGGCACTGTACATGTTAATTTATTTAATGTAAGCGATGAATTGCTGGTTTAATGCATCGCTCACTCATAAGTCTGAGAGCAATGTTTATCAATCGGATGGACCACCATATGCTGGGTACCTATCGTGAGAAACAGTGTATTATATAATAGCGTTGCACCGATCCTCGTCAATAGACGGATACAAACTGTAGACCGAAGCGGTGGCGGGGTATTATATACTTTCCAGGAAGTATCCAAGGCGGAAGGGGTACGTGGTCACCGGGGTCAGGAAAATCGATACGTGTGCAAGAAGCTACATCACGATTCTGCTTCTTCGTTCGGTACAACCGACACCGCACGATTTCTTCCGGTAAGAAATATCTCTTCCAATTTATCACTTGGCGAGTTTGACCTCTGTTTGCATTAAGTTTATTAAGTTTCCGGCATGAAGGATAATTTTTCTTAGGGGTGGGTGGCAAATTATGTAATATATTAATGATATTTCATAAGTTTGTATTATAACGCTCGATAAACCTTCTTATCTAATATATAAATAATTTATAGAGATACTCGCAAGTGTATGCTGAAAAAAAATGTGTGAATCTCGAAAAGAGCGAGTTCACGTTACAAAGTTAGAAATTCGCGTATAACCATAAACTCCCACGCCGATGAAGTTAGAAAACCGCCGGGTCTTAGAAAAGAGGAAAAAGAAGGATCTCCCGTGGGGGTGACATAACGTATTGTGAACGCCGATCGAAGCGAAATCGTTGGCGCCAGTAACACACCGGGAAGTGAGGAGAAGATGCGTCAATAATAGACAACCCGACAGAGTACTGAAAAGCTGTGGGAGCGCGGTGCCAAGCATCATCGGCGGCAGTAGGAATGTTTCTATGGTCGAAGAAAGTTAAGAATTTTCACCTCCTAGAGAAAGCACACCGCATGACGCATGTAGATATTACGCCACGTAGAATGAATTTCCCCCCTTGCCTCGACGGCCTTCGATCCGTTGGCATCGTCTTTGCTGCTGTTAGCACGATACATCTTCTCTCACTGGGTCGTCTCTGAAGTATCGTCGCATTGAAACTTCCTTCTCTTACTGTCTTCTGTTCTCTACCCTCTTGTATAATCAAAATCATAGTCCGTTATTTTAAGACTGTCTTAAGTAATGTTTTAAGATGCTAATGCGGCTGTTTGATTGGTTCATGACATCTTCTCTGATAAAAAGTTGATGGAGAACGATTGAGAACGATAGGATTTCTATCAATTGATTTTCTATAAGATCGTTTTCTATCGTCGATCTCGCGAGATTAGATTGCTCGGATATAAATCCTATCGAATTTTATTGGATAAGATTTGTGTACAAGATTTCTAGAAGATTTGATTTAAATTAGTGAATTCACGAATCACAGATTCTATATTCAAAACAATAGAATTTTTTTATCGTTCTCTATCAACTTTTTTATCAGAATTAAACAATCTTAAATATAAAGGTAGACTATATAAATATAAATATCGGTCAAAAGATAAACTATCCTATTTGTATCTAAATAGTACATCTCAAATGTGATCAACAACAAAAAAAGAGAGAAAGCTAAAGACAGCCAATCTCCCTCTCTTTCTAACTTATTATATGTGATTGGTTGTGCTGAGTTCAGATTCCCATCCTAGTGTCATCCAAGTATCATTTCATCCTTACTGTTTACGGCATGTTAGACAAAGATGACATTGCGGCTCACTAATGTGTGTGGAAAAGATAAGTGTCACTTACTTTTATGATACTATTATATAATAACTTCTAATTAAGTCAATTAATATAATTTATATCTGAAAAAATAATGATCCAAATAATATTTTTATCTCAACTTGATTTGGATACAAAAAAATATAAATAATATAAGCTCTAAAAAAATAAAACTGTTCTGAAATAAATAAACGATACTAATTAGAGATGAATGGTAAGTCATCTCGAGAATTTTTTAAATTGTTTTCGATTGCAGTTAAACCATGTCTTGAAATTTTCTGTTGTACCTATTCGCATCCTTAGGTCCATGAAATTACGAAAGAGCGATCCACGGAAGCGACCCGTGCAGAAATGCGTAGTAAGGTAAATCGCGATAGGCACAGTCAGTCGCGTCACCTTATGTTCGAGGTACCAAAGAGTCGCACGACTCTTACGCAATACGGTGGATTGCAGGTGTAGAGCGATTACGCAGTAAGCAAGCAAATTTCACACTCGGACAGGTGGCCGAAATGTACTAGCATAGAGAAATGGGTTTTTAACCAGTATCTCTGTGATACCGCGTAAATACTACAAAGAAATTTCACGCGATTGTAGAAAGTAGCTGTTGTGATAGAAATACGTATGATAAACTGACGAGATACGTCGTATGTATATTGCAATCAAAATGATAGTAAATCAATAAAAATGTAATAATAATTGTATAATATTTACAAAAAACACATGATTTACTTTTTACAACGTGATCAAGTAATTAATATAATCAAGAAACAATTCATAATTTTTCTAAAAACAATAAATATTAATTAATAAAAAGTAATAAAATAACTAAAGGAAACCATGTAAATTTTTAATACATACATTTTCTTTGTACTTTGATGTTGCTGTAACTATCACAACTTCTGTAACTTGTTGTTTGGTAATGCTGTAATTATAATTGTAAATTTCCTTGTTCCTCAAACAAATAATCAATTCTGTATTCCAAGATATTTTATTTATAGTTTAAATCCTGAATGAATAGCAACTATACCAAACATAAGATTTTGATAAGTCACATTTCTGAATCCTGCAAGTTCAATCATATTCTGAAAATAGAATAAGAAATAATAATATTAGGAAAAGTTTCCAAAAAACCTCAATATTGAATCATGTAGTTTATGTATAAAAAAATAATAAAACGAGTAATATTAAAAAATGCATTTTTTACTTTAAATTCTTCTTGTTTTGGAAATCTTCTTATGCTTTCTACTAGATATTGATAAGCTTTCCATTGTCCTGCAATCAGTGTCCCCATTACAGGTATTATTTGAAAAGAATATTGGTCATATAACCTAAAACAGAATAAATAAAATTTTGTTACAGATTGGTTATATGTATATTTTTATCTTATAAGTTTTCTATTATTGTTTTAGCATATATACCATTGTAAAGATTTATTTTCAATGTGACTAAATTCTAGACATAAAAATCTTCCTCCTGGCTGTAATACTCTGTATGCTTCGGACAATACCTGTGACATAGAATTAACAAATAAATTCAATTAATTATATTTAATATAAATCTAATATTCAGATACACTTATAATTTTTAGCTTAAATATGTAATAGGTAGAGATTAATAATGTAAATTTGTATGATGTACTTTCAATGTATTTCGGTATATATATGCAAATAATTAAGTAATAAATCAATGTATTGCAAGTACCTTGTCAATATGTGTCACATTCCTTACTCCAAATGCTATAGTATAGGCAGAGAAAGAATCATCTATAAAGGAAAGCTTCTCTGCATCTTCTTGCTTCCACGTAATATCACAATTACTATCCTTTGATAAACCTAGCCTACTTGATCGGTTTTTCCCAACGTCTAACATATTTTGATTTATGTCACATACAGTTACATGGCTACGTATATTATGTGGATTTGGCGTATTCCTCAGAAAATTAATATATCGAAATGTAATGTCGCCTGTGCCACCAGCAGAATCCAAGAGATGGGTACCGTGAGTAGGTCCTAATTCTTGTATAAAAATATCTTTCCAGATACGATGGATACCCAAACTCATTGTATCATTCATCAAATCGTAAGAATTGGCAACATTTTCAAATATGGTGTACACTGCAAGAAATATTTTTTAATTAATTTTGACATTGCACATCTAATGTTTTCCCATATAAAAATTATATATGGAATATTATAAAATTATGTATGGTAGTCCAAGAAGCTACAAATTATAAAATTGTATAAAGTAGTTCAAGAAATTACAACTGTTGCTATTATTATTATCTAATTCACTGTTACAACTATTAGTATGCTATATAATGAAAAAGAGAGCGTTTGATAAAAATAATAGAATTTTCACCTTCCTTTGCCTTCTGGCTCTCCTTAACTGTTTGGAAACCAAAATGTGTCGATCTCTCATCGTCCTCTGAAAATGTGTTTGCTGTTTTTGAATAACCACGTTTAGTTACAGTAGCTTTTAAACATTTATCTAGTATTCGACTTTTTTTAATATTCACGCAAAGACTCTTATAGGCCATCGTACCACGTGCGTGCACGTGCTACACCTGCAACAATTAAAAAAAAAAAACAATCAGGTAAACACTATCATATGATTCATATGGTACTTGACACTACAATACTCTACATTCGTACACCAATTCATTTGCACTTTCTGCACTCGAGATTGTCTTTTTTTCTTCCTCCAAGGTTAGAAAACATATTTATCCTCATTCAGGTATGGTCGGTATGGGCAGTGTTGCATAGTGCAAAAATACGACATAAGTCTAGCAGTCGACACATGCTGTCAAAAACAAATAGACCCATAAATGTAAGAATACATATTTATTATTACATTATAAATAGACTCGTGTATGTGTAATTCGCTGTCGAATAGAGAACATCCTAAAATTTTTTTACTTTACTGTAATTACATTTTACTAATTCATTTAGCTAATTAAAGTACATTATGTATATATGTATATTTTTGCTGAACAGCATCTGTTGGTTACTATTGGCAGAGATGACAATCATGCAATTTAACAACATATAATGTAATTGTGGCATCTAAAAAAATAGCTTGAGAGCGATAACATGTTCTGTTTTGCCGAATGTCCAGAACAGAGCGTTTTGTCCAGTTTGACAGTGCATTCCTGGCTGTCTTTAGGAATGCCACAGTAACTATCGATATTTTCGAGTATGGGCTACCTGGGGTTACCGCTTCTGCGCTCTAGTTTAATTCCACCGTAAGCGAAAAGCGATGCTTCATGATTGTGGTGCTTATGGATTGGTATGGATATTTGCCGATTTAAATTTGCAAGTACAATTCACTTTAATAATGTATTTTAGTATTTGTCAAGTAGCTTTTCATGTCGCTCGTATGTACGATTAAAAACAGAGATTGGTCAGGATCAGTCAGGATTATTGTCTCTTTATGTTACATGCTTCCTAATTTTTATGAAATCTTTGCGTGTATAAGAGAAGAACATGTATCTAAAGATCGTTATAAAAATCTATGTTTATAATTATGTATTCTTTACAACACATTATTGCAATGCTATCATTTTTAAAATATTAAATTTTATGTATTCAATACCTGTTACATATAAATATTCATAAATTAATATGTTGTGCATTCACATGTGTGATTTTGGACACAATTACTGATTGATTTTAATATTTATTTAGATTGGAGGTCACTTATTTTCCTTTTATATGATTTTTCCTAGAGTTTTTATTTCAAGAAATATATACTTTCATTATGAGACAATTTGAGACGAAATTTTTTCCAAGTCTGTTTACCTTATGTGTTTTTACAAAGTGAGCATCTTATTATTTTTCAGATTTAAAGTCTATGGCAGGAATTCCCATTCAAAAATAAACTAGCAAGTATAAACAATTATCGGCTATTTTTATGAAAAAAGTATGCTGTTAACATTTCTTTACATGATAGCCACCATCATGCAAGCACGGAGGATATCATTTCTGAAAGCACACTTAAATACTATCTTTAAGGAAAACAAGAGTCATCCTTCTATTGCGCTTAAGATTAAATCATCTCGACACCTAAGTAAAGGTAATTTTTTTTAATATACACATTACACAAATACCATAGATTTTATTACATAATTAACAAATAATGTCTTTGTTTTTCATGTGTATAATATTATCTATGAATACTATAAATAATATTGCAATAATAAAGAGTTTTCAAATTCATTTCATGTTTTTATATAAACATTAAAATTTTTTATTTAAATTCAAATTTATTAAATAAATATGCATCGAAAGCATTATGTATGTATATTTTATAATGATTTCAAGATCGCAATGCATCACGATACGATGATGAACATTTCATGAGTTCTCGTTTGTGTACTAACAAACATCTTGCAAAACTTGACGAATTAGTATGGTTTCAAGAAAATGCAAAATTATATACTATATACCCTCAAGTATGTATAATACAACAAATATTATTTCAGTTACATTTATAAAAATTAAACAAAACTGATTATTATTTTACAGCAAAAAGTTGATGTATCCGACTGGCTGAGTTATCCAAATGGAAAGTCGTTTCCCCTGTATGCGAGTAACTGCTGTCAGATTTCAAGCAAATCTGATCTCAAGATGCATATTCTTGTCGAAGTTGATATGGAAACTTATAGATCTCGGGCCTCAACAGTCTCTGCAAAAGTACAATGTCAAGTCTTTAATTATTTGTTATTCATTCTGTGCTCTATTGTTATACACATTCTGCATGTATAATTATGTAAGCTTTGAAACTGTACTATTATTTTGCGACTAACTGTAGATTAATTTATCATATTCTATTTATACATATTATTTTACAGCTTGAGGATTATGGTCTAATTATGGCATGGACAACATCAGATACGAATATGAGTTTCATTTTAGAAACAGATATAGAACATATTACGAGCTTAATAACTGGGGTTATGCAAGGACAATATTGTATTAATCATGGCTTATGTTTAACACGTGTTCAATGTATATATTATTCTTGTATCTCGAAATGTAACATATTTTAATACCTTGATATACATTTGCTTCATTTTACTTTATTTTTCAGCTGTTTTGGTATCGGGAAAACCGTATATTTATAATGATACTGGACACCTTGGTCCACCACCGAATAAAAGTAAGTTATAATAATTTAACTTTTGTATTTATTGTAATATATCTTTTAATACATAATGATTATGTACTTTTATAGATAGTTTTTATGCAAAGTGCGAAGCAGCTCGAGTATCTTCCCAAAAAAATAAGCCTAAAGGGATTATATGTGGTGTAAGTGTACGATCACAAGATAAAAATGTGAATGCTGATGCATTTACAGAAGACTTTTATGCAAAAAGTAAGAAAGATATTGATATACCAGCATTATGCATAAATGTTTCTAAAAATTTTTGTAAGAAAAATTTTTAATTTTACATCTTTTAGGTGCTAAATCATCTAATTCAGCACCAGCAACATGTAATTCGTCACCAACTGACGAGCGTATAGGAGGATTGGTAAAAAATCCATACAATAGAGCATTACCAAGCGATGTGCTTCTTGCCGCTACTGGAGGATACAAACCTGATTTAACCAAAATTTATTTACCTGATGCCACAGAGAAAAAAGACAATAGTAATGAAGAACTTGAAAATAATCAAAGCAAGTCTACTAAAGAAGCAAGTACTTGCAAGTAAGTATAATATATACATATATAAATATAAAAATGTATAGAATATATTTAATGATTATTTGTATCATATTTACAGAAATTTTGAATTGAAAGTAGAGGAAATTCCCAATAAGGTGATTAAACCACCAAATGTTCTCGTCTGTGCAGATACTCTAGGTGCGACCGACAATTTAGAAAATTTATTATCAAAAGTGCTAGAGCGAAATAGGTATACTATATGTTAATAAATCTTATATTATATTAGGATCTATAAGTTTTTCAGTAAGTTATGTTAAAACATAATAAATTTTACAATTTGTTTCTGCAAATAATTAAGTATCTATTTTAATAATTATTAGCTGTAAATAATTGATATTTTTATGAAAAAAGACATATATAATTTTTATATAATTTTCATGATTTTACAGGTATGACATCCATGTATTTTGTAAAGGGGACTATAATAGTTGCAAAATTTGGATAGATCAGGTTTCTTTAGTAGTTCTTTGTGGTAATGTTGGTGCAGAACTCGGTGCTCAACTTGTGGAATACATTATACAAGGGGGCAAACTTCTAGCGTTATGCTCAGACATGTTACATATTTTGCTACCATCATTCAAGACTGCCGAAGTACGTGAAAATGAACTCGTACACTTTTCATATGGTAAATGGAAACAAGTACGTATGATGCATCACATCTTTTGCTACCATGCATCCCCCGTACGAACCCGTTTTTCTCAAGATCACGAAGATACAAGGTAATATTTCACTGTATTAGTAAAATATTGTATATTATGCTATCGCGAGAAGAAACGAAAAACATTAAATCAAAATAAGTATGGAAAAAATATTGCAATTATATATGTTCAATACGTTACATTTTTAGAACGTCTACGTTGAATACTCCGACGTCAACTAGTGTTAAGGACAAAAAGGGAAATTTACATTCGTTTGATGTAAAAGTATTAGGCAGAGAAGAAACATGGCACAGTCCAAGCATATTACTCGCAACTTTGCCTAGTAGTGGTGGTAAAGTGGTATTCTCTCAAATCCATTTAGAGATAGATCCAATGAAATATGTATATGAGGGAGATAAATTTAACGAGTTGAAAAAAAGTAACACTGCACGGTTGGAAATAATCAGTGATCTACTGAGCATACATTTAGGATTGGATGTAAATCGTGATTTAAGTCAAGTATCAGATAAAAAATCTGTACGGTATACTCCAGGTTACTTTTTAGGCAAATTTGAGGTACATAAATATGTTATGAATGAACAATAATAATAATAATTGTTATACAATTAACAATAAAATGTTATAATTTGTTAATAACTACAGTATTTCATTATATATTTCAGATGAAGATGAAGATGCTTGAAAAACTGAAGGATAGAATAGATAAAACTAACATATTAAAAATGTCAGACATAGAAATTCAATTTTGCGCAAATAACGATGATGCGCACTCACCATCTGCTAAGTTTCTCCCTATTATGATGCATATGTGTCCGCCTAATTTTTCGACTGTAGATTATTTTGAAGTAAATTCTCTTTTAAACATTAGTAATGATTGTACATATTTAAAAATTTACTTAAGCATCAAGTGCTATATGTAACTTAAAGAATTAAAAAAAAAACTATTTTTATTATTTTTTTTAAATCATATTTTCATATAAATTCAAAATTTATATGAAATTTATTTTCACAGAATCTCTGTACAAAAGAACTGGGCCGTTTAGTAATATATGCCGATATCTTGACATCATCCATGCATGTGAGTAACGCCCGATTACAACACGGACTAGCAGTTATTCCACGTCAACAGATATACGGACGAGGTATTATTTTTCATTTTTTATTATATGTAGAAATAGTATAATGATTGCGTTATTTCTAGGGCGATACAATAATAAATGGCTCAGTCCAAATGGTTGTGCTATGTTTACTTTACAAGTACATATTTCGATAATGTCGAGTCTCGGTCGTTATGTCTCGCTTCTTCAACATATTGCTGCTGTAGCACTTGTATCAGCTGTAAGATCTATTAAAGGATACGAGGTATTTTTATATTCTCCTATTATATAAATAACTTTAATCTCTAAAAAATATAGTAAACAATATTTTATAAAATGAATGCCTAATAATTAATAATATTAATTAATTTATTGAAGGATATTAATCTCAGAATAAAATGGCCTAACGATATATATATTGGTAATTCGATTAAGATTGGTGGTATAATCGTTTCTACGCGGTCGGAAGATGTTGGAGCAAAGTACATTTGTAATATTGGTATGTAATAATCACAAATATAAATTTTTTATAATTTTTAATCTACTTGAAACACAAATGTTAATATTTATTTCAGGTGCTGGTGTAAACCTTTCCAATAATAAACCTACAACTTGCATCAATGATACGATTCTGCAATATAATCAAAAATATGGTACAAAATTAGAAACGTTATCTCATGAAAAGTACTTGGCATTGGTATTCAATGAAATGGAAACTTTATTAGATATTCTACAGAATGGCAACACAGAACACTTCTATCAACTTTATTACAAATATTGGTTGCACACGTAAAGTCGTTAATTTAAAACTTTAAATAATTTCACTTTCTTAAAGTTAATATAATATTTTTACATTATCTATACATACATACATCTTTTTTAGGAATGCAAATGTGATGGTAACGAGGATAAATGGAAGAAGAGAAAGTGTTACGATCTTAGGTATTGATGATTACGGATATCTATTGGTGCAAGGAAAAAAGGGTTTATTTTCTGTACAATCAGATGGAAATAGTTACGATCTTTTCAAAGGGCTAATAGTACCAAAATAAAGAATTATATATTCGTTAATTGTTACCGGGAATTATATCTACATGTTAAAATATGATAATAAATATATGTATATATATAACATACAGTTTTATATCTCTATTCGTGTACATGTATCATATATTACATACATATATTATATATATGTACATATATAATATGAAATATTTTATATGTACATATGTATAAAATTTTATATTATATATGTATCTATGGATGTGTGTGTATACATATTTGTAATATATGACATACAAAAATTACACATATATGTATGTGTATGTATATACATACACATGCGTGTATTATATATATATATATAATACATATAATTTATATATGTATATATATATATATATATAATTTAATTTATATTATGTTGTTACGAAATACATTCGTTATGTTTAGTGATTTATAGAAATTTTATTTTAAATAAAATTTGATTATCATATTTGATGCTCTATATGCTCTACACACGTCTATTGTATGTATGCGAAATAGAATAATTGTTATACAGTGTATGTTAAAAAAATTATATTTTAATTAAATAATTTTTAATTTTTATTGAATAATGGCTGCTAAAATTATTTTTAAATGATACGAATATATATATATATATATATAGTTTTTATCGAATGCTAATTTAATGTTTCAGCTACAATTAACACATAATTTAATTAACAGTACTATTTCATGAACAACAAAGACGCGAATGTAAACAAATATTTTAAAACTATATTTATAAAGATATATTAAGATAAATGAGATAGCAAATGAAATCGATCACGCACAATCACGAAATATACAGAATAAAAACACGTTTATATAGGATGTAATGATACATATTGTTAAACAATATATACCTATAATTAACTTAATATAAAAAGTATCATATATAACATATATTTATGAAATTACAATACCATTCAAAAAATTGTGTATCAACAATATTTATATTGCCGCCAATAATGAATCAGATTTTGATATAAATAATTCACTGTGTACATTTTTTATAAATTATGTACATAATAAATTATTTACACATCACGAATTGTCAACCTAATTCATTATTGACTACAATGCGAAAAATATAATTCTGCAGTATGACCAGATACTTAAATTTTAAAGAAAAAAAAAATTATTTTCCTATTTCATTCAAATAAAGATAAATGTACAAGTTTAATTATATAAACCTATTGCACGCTTACTTTTATACAGTTACGCGATGTTATAATTTAAGTGTGCACAGAGATATAGATTGACGAAGTAGATAAAATACATTTTAATTAAATTTATATAAATTATCTCTGTATGTATATATATATATATATATATTTCATTTTATTATACTATTTCATCGAATTCATAATCTCAAATTGGCTATTTGCAGCAGGAAAGTTTAATTAAATAAAACAGAATTTGGATCTTCATTGTCAAGCTGCTTTACATGCCTCAGAACGTCTTTCTTTGTAATTACACCAAGTAGTCGCCTGCATGAGAAACAGAGAAAAATCTCGATATTAGTTTATAACAAACATAAAGATTATATGAATACAAGAGCTTTTATATACGTACCCGTTATGTGTAACTAGAGTTTGCCGTAATCCTAATTTTCGGAACATATCCACTACAGTTTCCATAGGAGTTTGATCTGTGATAGTAATAGGGGCCATATCTAATATCTTTTTTAATTTCAAAGGCGGGGGCGAATGACTTTGGATATTGTTTCCGTTAGTAAAAATAACTAACGATTGTCTGCTAATATCTTCGATCATTCTTTTGGCATTAGCAATGGCAAGGTTGAGATCCCGTCGTAAGACAAAACCAACGAGATATTGAGATTCTTTAGAGACTATTACAGGAAAACCATTATGCTCAGTTTCTTTAAGCAAATTCTCTACATCTTCAACAGTCATCGAATCTTGAGTAAGAACATGAAGAGCTTCGTTTCGCCTAAAAATTAAGAATACATAGACATGTGTACGCGCCGCATACATGCAGAATCTTAAAATTTATACATATATGTTTATTTTTTGCTTACTTGGGTTGCATGACATCTGCTGCTAGAGTTGTATGCTGAAACTCATCCTTGCTATCCAGAAACGGATACCCATTTAAACCAATGTGAGCATCATAGATACCTTGTTTCCCGAGAGCATCACCAACCCATTTACTCGCCATAGCTGCAGCCATTAAAGGTACAATATATCGTACGCCGCCTGTTAATTCAAACATAATGACAACTAAAGAGACCGTCATTCTGGTTACACCCCCAAGGACAGCAGCAGCCCCGACCATCGCATACAATCCAGGTGTTATGCAGTCAACACCCATAGAACACTCCTCGCTAAACATCCATATGTGAGGATAATTATAAGCAAGTTGTTCCATTCCTATTCCCACGATACGACCCATTATCGCTCCCAGACAGAGAGAAGGAATAAACAAACCGCATGGAACTTTCATGCCGAATGTGAATATTGTCATAACGAGTTTTAATATTAATGCTAGCACAAGTAACCATATAGCTTTGTAGACTCCTGGGCCAGCTGCAGCAATCTCAATAGCAGATTTCACAGCAGTGAAGTTTCTATTGTAATCACTATAGAGCAGAAAATATTTTTAAAATAATTTAAATATATTCAATAATATACATGTTAATTTTATACCATGCTGACAAAAATTAATTATAAACAATTGTTAAATTTACGTATTTTAATAATTTATAATTAAGTAATTATATATGATATCTTCAGATAAAACAATGAAATCTTAGCATATTTACTAACCATAACATATCTGCGTTCGATACACCGCATTGGCTAAATAACAAGTAAATGAGTTGACTGGTGTTCATCCTTGTGTAAGGATTTGGATATCCAATTACTGCTGTTACCACTGTTACAATTAATACTTCAGTAACAGGATATTGTCCCAATTTGGAAGTTTTACGATATCGGCACCAAAATAAATTTGCTTTGATAAATAACGTTGCTATTACTCCCTACCGCGAAAATTTGTTTTTATAAATATACACTTTTAATAAAATTAATAATACGCAATATAGAATAAAAATTACATACTCCAAATATACCAAGCATGACGAAAGGAATCAATTCGAAGAATATCCAAGGTTTATTATATTCTACATAAAATAATACTGAATGCTCATTTCCAAATGGATTTATGGAACGTAGTACAAAAGCAGCTATCAAAGCACAGAAGAACGATCGCCATAAAGTTTTTAATGGAAAATAATAGCTGACCTAAAACAAATACATAATTTTTGCAGTCTTTCAAAATATAAATTACATAATCAGGATATGTTTTCTTCACATTTTTTAACTTTAAATTGATTAAAAACATAAACATATAATTAAAAATTATTCTATATATTCTGCTAGAATACTTTTAGTTCTAACAAAATATTGAGAATATCTTCGAAATATATCATGTTATTTAATCTTCTCAAATAATACCTCTTCTAAGCTAAATAGAACACCGCCAATCGGGGCTCCGAAAGCAACGGAAACTCCTGCCGCGGCCGCAGCAGATAAAATTTCTCTTTTCTTCGCTTCATTTCTACCATATTTTGGAAATAGATACGAAAATATATTTCCTATACAACATGCAATGTGTACCATGGGACCTTCCTTTCCCAAACTTAAACCCGCTGATACGGAAAGAATCAGACCTACTGACTTAATAATCAACGTCCATTTACCGAGATATCCGCGGATAATAAAGCCACTCAAAATTGTTTTTATCTGAAAAAATACACATATATGAACAGAACGTAAAAATAAAATGTAAAATAAAAAAATTTAATTTATTAGATTTATATACTTATTAAGTTGTATTATCGAAACATATATTTATAATATTTCTAAAAGAGAGAAAAACTTGATAAATTTACTTCAGGTATTCCAGAGCCACAAGCGTAAGGAGCAAACATTCGCACTAGAGATGCAGAAAGTGCTGCAAACAGAAGCGCCCATGCTGTATAAAATAAATATGATATTGTATAAGGTCCTGCTCCCTCTTTTGCCTGATATAATACTTCAGGCCATGTCAACCACTGCAAAAAAAGATATATTATTAATCATATTGGAAAAAAATTTAATTAACATAAGAAATACAAAAAATTTGTAAGTCACAACGAAATTAGAGAGAATTATATATTTACTTGTGTACAGTTTCCACCATCAAACGTAGTCTCATTATAGCTCCAACAACATTGCTCTTTATTTAACCAGAAAGCTTGTGGACAGATACCGAATTTAAGATCTGTCATCCAGGAAGCACCAATATCTATAACACCAGCCGCCACTCCCGTAAAAAGTCCGACTAGTAAAACGCAAAGCCATCCCGACCATGCGTCATGAGCTCCTTTTATCAAACCCCAGATAGAATCGTGCTTCTTTTTCACGATATAACGATGCCGCATTCGATCTCGCGCGATATCCCGTTGCCAATCGATAGTATGAAAATCATCATACTGTCCAATCCCAGGTATGTCATCAGAATCAACTGAAACTAATAAATGTAAAAATTTCGTAACACTGAATTATTTTGTAATGTTTTTGATACAACTTTGGAGAATTGTATTTTCAATATCATTATTGTATACATATATATGTATACAAAAAATTTAATAATTATATAAACAAAAGAATATTGTATATATGTGAGACAGAAACTAGCAAATATGTATATTTTCTACAGTTAGTAACAATAAATATAATAATCAGAATATATACTCTGTATCCTTTACCCGTATGAAGCTGGCCCTCCAATATTAAAAAATCGATTTTTTTCTTCATGCATTCGTTTGCTCATCGTTTGCTCATGAATGCTCAGTTCAAAAGATACAAAAAAATTAAGTTTTGATATCGAATTAAAAAATCGATTTTTTTCTTCATGTATTTGTTTGTTCATCGTTTGCTCACAAATCTTTTGAACTAAGGGTGAGCAAACGAAAATTCCAACTGAGCATTCGTGAGCAAACGATGAGCAAACGAATGCATAAAG